TCTTAAGAGAGATAGAGTATATGAGACCTCACAGCTCCATTGAATATTGATGAGTGCAAGGATCAGGTTGGTAGCCAAGAGCAGCTAGAATGTTGAATCACTATATTACATAGAATTCTCTCTTGGAATGTGAGAGTCTAAGAGACCTACACGAAGCTAATAAACATGTAATTACTTCTTGAAGACTCGATTGAGTATGCCTTTAAGAGTTTTAAGAACGCTTTTTGAACCAGTTGGCTTATTGTGATTTAGCAACAATTCACCCTTGTTTTGGGCTAAATTTTTAGCCTAAAATTCTCGGGCTTGTTGCAGTTTAAAAGTTTATCAGCAACCACAATGAACTTTGAATTTTTACTGTACCCTGATTTGAAAAAGATTGCTAGATGGAAAAAGTGTATGATAGAAGAGGGTTGGAGACCATGCCTTCAGGTCCTCCATGGGTCTCTAGACTAAGCCTCAAAGTGGACTTGCACACAGAACACAAGATCAAACAACCAACCTTCCCATCCTTTCTCACTTCTCTTCTGTTTCAGCTCCATGGATGACTGGCAACTAAGCCTTCCTCTTCAATATTTGACTGGCATGGGGAAACCAAACCTCTCTCCTTCCTTTAGACTGAGATCAAACACCACCAGACAAACTTCCAAGAAAATTCTTCACCATCCACATTCCTTTGTTCTTTCAAGAATCAATAGTCTCTTGGTGCGTCTTTCATTTTTTTCTCTCAACTATGGAGATATCCCTTTGTTGATGTATTTCAAAATGATAGAAGAATCCTATCCCCATGCCTGAAAGTTTTTACCCAAAAATTGTGGCCCTGACCCAAGAGAAGTTCCAAATGGCCTTGAACAACCATCTAATCCCAAGAATTCTTTTAACTTCGCCTTCCAGGATTACATTAAAAGATTTTTATAACCAAAAATTTCCTTGGTGATAGGAAAGGCATGCTAGAAGGCTGAAACAACCAGAAGCACAAGTAAGAGGACCAAGGTGGAGGAACTTCTCTCACTACTTTCTCTCTAAATGGTCAAATTTTTTACTCACCTAGTACTGAAGCAAGTTGGCATAACATGTTAGCATTCTAACCAAAACATCTCTGAAGGAGACAAGACTGGAGACGATATAGGCTGACGACCAGCCTTGCAATCAAAGACCATAGCCCAGCTCAAAATAATTGTCACCTCACCAAAAGAAACCAATTTTATTTTTTCTATATTCATCCTAAACCTATAAAAGAAAAAATGAAAAAGGAAACAGAGAAGAGAGAATTATTAAGAAAAGGAAGAAAATTAAAAGCTCTAGCACTCAGCAGCTTCTACGTTGCTGCTCCCAGGTATTTTTGCAAGC